AAAGCTAGTGTTTATTTTGCATAAGAGGAGAAATCAATGATCATTTCTGTGTTCTGCTCATTTTTCTCTCTGTTTTTTTTTCTCTCCATTTTTTCCTTTGAGCAAAAACATTATAATTTACCTGATACAAGAAAATCTATCAAGCATTTAAAGTAAGATTACATTCAAAAGATTTGCTGCAATTTTGTGCAGCTCCATGTTGCTGTCACTTCGCTGCCACTGTTTTGCAGATTGTGATGGCACAGTAACTTCAAAAACTACAAAAAAAGAAAAATCTGAACCTCATCCAACACCCACAAGCTGCATGAACTATTTGCCTAGTTGCAGTTTTTTAACTACTTGACTTCTATTTTATATTGCTTCTTACAACAAAAATGTCAGACATCAGATTCTGAGAGTTGACTTTTTGCATTCAAAACTCTTGGGATAGCATTCTTCCTTTCGTTGATACAGATTCATTATCATCTCTTCCTCCTAAAACTGGAGTTGATATAGAATATGAAGATGATTGGTCTGAACGAATTGAGTTTTATTCCATTCTCAATTTTGATGTTGTTACAGAACATTTTTCTTGCTGACAACAATGTGAGTACCGGTTAGGAATGTTCATAAGCTGATAACATCTGAAAACTCCTTCCAGGCAAATCTTGACAAACCTCCTGAAGCAGCTGGCTGCAAGGGGCCTAACAGTGGATTCTACAAAACCACAGCAGGGGAGAAGTCAGAAAAGATTTATGGTCTTGTTTAGTGTAGAGGGGATGTTTCTGCAGCAAACTGTGCTAATTGCACAAAAAAATCCATAGCTGTTGCCTTGCAGAATTGCCTTAAGAGCAAAACGGTCAAGGTTTGGTTCACATGGTGCTATCTCCGATATTCTGACCAGCCTTTCTTTAGTGTGTGGGATAAATCCACATACAATAGTACCGACTCATGATGACCCATCTGTTGCATCGCAAGGGTTCAACTTCCTGAACGGGCTTGCAGCGCACTCTGATGTTACAGGCTAGAGTGCTGGATGTTGGACATAGCGGGAAGAGGTATGGTGCGGTCCAGTGCACCAAAGATATTAGCAGAGCTAACTGCAGCAAGTGCTTTGATGCTCAGCTGATGACTTTTAGAACCATTGTTGGAAATAGTAGAGGATGGGAGATTTATGGGTATAGTTGTAGCATGTGGTACCATGACTATCAGTTCTATTTCAACATCTCTACCACTTCTAATGATGGTAAATTACAGAAATGCATTAATCATTGCTTTGCCCTGATCTTGAAGTTACACTTCCATTATGTAAATCATGAATGAAACTGAACTATGGCTGTTAATTGCAAAACAGGTGCTCGAAGATCTTCTTCAAATGGAGTTGCAATTGATATAATCATGGTTGTCTTGGTGTTTATATTGGTGCTATAGGCCTGTAGCCATTAATGTTGCTCAGCTATGTGAGGTTGAACGTGAAAGCTGAGATCAGCTATGAGCAATTTTTAGCTGAAACTATACTTGATCTCTTAAGTCTTAATTACTAATTTTTTTTCATGGTTCAAAAAGGAGACAAAATTGAGAGGAAAGAGGCAGAATATAAAGTGAAAATGGAGAGTATAACGCTAAAACTCAAATTTCTCATTAACAAACTCTGCTCTAAATAGTAGAAAAACAACCTAAAACCAATTTAAAGAGTATTCTACTTAATGTTTTTTTGTTTTGTCTGAGCAACTTTTCGACATAAAAAGGCAACAATCAAGTACATCAAAAACTAGTAAAAGACAGCCACCAACTTGAAGCCTTCATCTTCATTTGCATTTGCATTTCACAGCATCATCTTCGTGATTTGCTACTTCAATTTTCTGTTATCAACATGAAAATGACAATGCAGCTAACTTGCTGTCAAATTGCATCTTGATCAGCTGTCAATTTTCAGTTTCATTGCTGCCATTTCACGGCAGCGTTATTTCATCATTTTTGCAGGTTTCAATGCCACAACTCTAACAACAATTCCAACATTAACTAGTTAATTAAAGTTACATTTATTTTAAAAAAGAAACTAGGTAGTACTGTTGGTTGTAGATTGATCGGATATATGAGATCCCATGTTTCCCCCACTGCTTGAAGAATAATCAGACAATGCAAGAATTCTCGCTGCAGAATACGGCGCTGCTGATGGTTGGGGGAGGTTTATTGACTTGCTACCAAGCATGATAACAACTGATGACATTGTAGGCCGATGCGCAGGGTCATCTTGGACACAAAGTAATGCAATTTGAATCCATCTTAGAACATCCTGCTTGGGACAGTTGTTGACAATGTTTGGATCTATCAATTCCACTGCTTTACCTTCACTCCATAGCATCCACGCCTGTTCAAGATCACATATGATAATGGAGTTCATAACTAGGTCACAGAACTAATATATGTTGTTTATGAACAAAATGTTCAAGAGAGAAGGGGCTTACATATGCTAGAAGGCTTTGCCCACAATCTGAGGTGGAGAATCCCTTGTTCTTTTTACCACTTATTATTTCTAGCATTAGGATTCCAAAGCTATAAACATCAGATTTTACAGAGATCTGTCCTTCTAGTGCATATTCTGGTGCCATGTATCCACTAGAATATAAAATAGTTCAGGCGCCTTAACATTTATAATTTCTTAGAGATGTTAAGAATAGAACGAGGGTTGAGGGAAATGCGTACCATGTTCCGACAACTCTCTCAGTGTTGGCTTCCATTTGTCTAACTCCAAAGATTCTAGCAGTGCCAAAATCTGATATCTTGGGATTCATCTCATTGTCCAAGAGAATATTGCTTGCCTTCATATCCCTATGGATTATTTTTAGCCGAGAATCCTCATGCAGATACTGCATGCCCTTTGCAGTCCCATTAATGATATTTGCTCTCGTCGCCCATTCTAATAGCTTGCATTTTGTTGCATCTGTCTTCATAAAAGCACTGTTAGCCATTAAAATACAGAAGAGGTACGACATGGAAATGTAAGGAAAGGAGCTAACCAAATAGAAAAGCATCCAAGCTAGTGTTGGCCATGTACTCGTAGACAAGAAGCTTTTCATCTTTCTCTAGGCAGTATCCCAAAAGCCTCACAAGATTTTTGTGTTGTAGTTTAATGATTAACTTCACTTCATTCTCGAACTCTTGAACACCTTGATTCGATGTCATTGAAAGCCTTTTGACAGCTACTTCTCTCCCATTATGCATTATTCCCTGGAAGCATTGATGTGAATTAACCTTGTCAACCAAAGGAATTTGTCATAAAAAAATTTCAGAAGTGTATTGTTATATGATCGATTTTTTGTTTAAAACCTTGTAAACAGGACCAAAACCTCCTTCTCCCAGCTTATTGGCATCAGAGAAATTGTTTGTTGCAGCCTGTATTTCAGCTAAACTAAAGTAATGCATCTCCTCACTGTGTTCTTCTTCAGCTTCATTTATACCTGTCTCGACAATGCGGCTTTGATTTGGGCCTTGAGAATTTCTTAACAGAATCTCTCCATTTGTTCCTCCTCCTGTGTGAAAAATCGGCAACACTATAGATCTAACTTGCAAAAGCCCCTTTTTGTGTGTGTGTTTGTGTGTATGTTCAAATTTCACCCATAGGAAAAATGAAAAAGGGGGAAAAAAAAAAGGCTATTTGCATCTACCTTTCAGTCCTTTCGTGCAGAATGAAAAACATAAGAAGCCAGCAAGAATGAATGCAAGGGCAGCTGCTAATGATGATAAAGAGATGATCACAACCTTTGTCCTTTTTCCCCCATTCCCTGCTAGTACATATACTACACCAAAAATCACAAATTTTCTTTTAGAATAGTTTAGTTCGGGAATTTTTTTTTTTTTTTTTAAGATAGTTTGGGAAATTAATTTGGTCATTCAAAATTTGTCCTAATTTAGTACTACCTCTATTGGGCATGGGACCTGGAACCGTAGGAACAAGCTGAGGTGCTGCAGGAGCAGGCTGTGGTGCTCCAGGAGCAGGTGGTGTATAGAAAGCGTATTCTTCAAATCTTGCAAGGCAACTTGGGGTTAAGAAGCGCCACCCTGCCCACCCCTGGCAACAATTCGGGATTTGATCAGTTATTTCCTTCAAACAAGAGTGACATAAACTTCTATTGAGATCTCCTGTGCACTGCACCAGGACATATATTTTCCGAGCCACATTACTAGGCACAACTCCTTCCTGGGTCCCATATAGCTTTGATGAGTTCTGAGCAGCTTGCTCAATCGCTTCATTTAGCAAATTAAGTACCGCCGAGTCCTCTTCAAGTGAAGTATTGCTTTCTAGATTCCTCATATAGACATATGAGTCTGGCGTAAATATCATTTCACCGAAGAAATCGGTATTCGAGTAGCGTAACAGGCATTTTTCATACCAGATGACTCCACCTCGATGAGAAGAAGAGCAAGTTTTTGGCAGATCTACGGTAGCATCATTGATGCACCTTTGGCAAGTGCTACTATCAACATCACCTCTACAGAGAAACAGGCCATAGACTCCTCTAAAAGAATCATTGTAGAAGGTATATTGGGAAGATTTGGAGGAAAAAACTTCCATCAGGGCTTCAACGTTAGATTGATAATTTTCTGAGGTATTAAATTCATCAAAACATTTGGGCAAATTCCAGGGTGACTGGCAAGTGATGAATCCGAAATTCAGCACAAAGATTGTGATAAAAAACAGAAGAAAAGGTTTGAATTTCTGAAGAAGAGGAATCATCATTTCCGTGATACAATGGAAAAGGGGCCAATGATACTGAAGATAAGAATTGCCGGGCTATTTGGTCTTTTGTACTCTGGAAACGGAGGAAGATTAAGACTGCAACGATTTTGCTCAAAGGAAAAATGGAGAGAAAACAGAGAGAATGAAAATGAGCGGAACACAAAGTTAGCCCCTAATACAGTTGTCAAATCTAATAGAAGGTTAACGGAAAGTTACCTAACTAAAGCTTATATTACATCAAGATACAATAATTGAATTGTTGTAACTTGTAATAGCATAAGAACTTCAAAAA